ATACTTTCGTACTATAAAACAGATGACAACGGTACACAGTTGTGGATATTACTGTACATGTTTGGAGTATTGGCCATCTACGGCGTTGGCGCTATTATCTGGGCATCAGTTGTGAGTATAGATAAAGCTTAGCTTTTTTTCGAGATCTGTAAGAGGTTTGCTTTAGATTGCTCTTGTGGTGCGCACAACGTACTCTCAATATCAGTCGGAAAATCCGACCGATTCAACGTCATACTGCCACAAGTGGATTTACAATTTTTGCTCCGTCTACTCAGCGAGTGTGATCGGGTTAGCGTTGATCTTATCGATTTTGTTGATCCGATTGTGCTACAGCAGATTATGTAAAAGCGATCAGAAAAACGGGCAACGTCAAGAACACAGTGAAAAACGCATCTCTTAGATGTACCTTTGCCTGTTATTTGTTGTGTCTCATTTCTAATTTGTATGCTTAAAGAAAATCCCATTTATATATCTCTCTGAACATATCGATAATGAACATCGTGTAAGCAAGTGGAGTTAATTTATTATATTTCCTTTTTTCTTCACATCCGACACTGGAGAAAAGTAGAATACGTGTGTCGGTTTGAACGTAATACTTATGTACTAAACGTGGATAAAACTCAAGACATTTGCTAATTTGTACACATCCTATTAAATAAAAGCTTTATCTATACCATCACCTTATAAATGCTTGCTGTTTGGTCAATCGAACTCTTTATCACTGATTTGTAAGGACAGAAAGTCCCTCCTGTTCAATTTGACAGCAAACTCGAACTTCAACTTCGAACCAAAATGGAACTTATCGTGTTTGGTGCATTGCTAGTGATATGTAATCGAAGAGAGTTCGTTTTATCTGAACGCGTCTTTTGACTTGAAAAAACAAAATATCAGACTAGTTGACAATATATTCAAACTGATTTCACCATGTTCTCGAAGAAAAGTCCGAGTAAAACGTGGTGAAATCAAGCATAACGAGCCAAACGCTATCCGCTCGAGAAAAAATGTCACTAGGGCGCTATTCTAAACAGTTTTCCTTTCAAAATAATTTTGAAAACTTTGATGCTTAGCGTGCCAATAAAGTGGTAAAACTTGTGCAGAAACGCGACTCTGGGTGGTTCAGAAAAAGAAAACTGTTTTAAGCTCTTTTCGGTGAGCACTTCTCCAATATCTTGCACAACCCGTGTACTTTAAACTAGTACATAAAAAGGAAATGTGTCGTCTCTAATTAATGTAACTTGAACTCGTGAAGTTGGTACAATGCGAAATAGGTTTAGAGTGAGCACTCTCTTCCGTGAATATAAAAAATTTGGCAATTTGACAGAAGTGGAAAACCACTTCTAAAATTGTCAAATTTTTTATCTCGAAGAGATGAGCGTCGCTGGAAACATCCAGAAAATGACTTTTTTTTTAATGTTACCTGTAATGCAGTAAACATTTATGGTTTCAGCGCAGCTACATTAAGGGCTCTCGAAAAAATGGTTCAGTTGAATCTAAGTTTTATCACAGATAGAACTCAGGATCTGAACTTTTCAAAGACTTTCTCTTTAGGAGGTGATAAAGGATAAAATCTTGAACTCAGTGGAGAATGTGCACCTGTATTAATTGCATGTACTACTTCTGTCTTTGCCACCGACATTGTGTCAGTATCAAATAAATGTTTGAACTTTTCTAGCATGTTTCGAAATTCTTCTCAATAATTTACACCGTCCCTACCCCTAGGCGTAGGGCGGTTATCTAAGTTCTTTATTAATTCTTAAATATGTTCTTGTGCACTTAATTTCTTCGGTTTTTCTGAGTTCTTTTTTTGTGCGTTAACGGTTGTCGATACTCCCAAGGTCCAAGCGGGCTTAAGGAAATTAAGGAGGAATTCGATTCGGAATTCAGTCAACAAGTATTTGAAAAAATGAAAAGTTATCAGCAATCAGTTAATCAATCTGCTATTGAATATTATAACGGCATACTCGATATCAGTCGAGAACAGAACAGAACATACTCATGGTAATAGTCAGCAGTTCAAGCGAAACCGCGCACAACAACAGAACAGTCGTGATCGACGCCAGCTACACAATATAATAATGGCAAACCAAGAATTATCAAAATTCAAACTGTCGTGGTTCATATTCGTCCAATCAACAAAATTCAAATCAAAATTATTCAGGATGTTTCTTGTGTAACGCATTAGATTATTATGCACGTGACTGTCCGAAAAAACAGACTTTTTAGTGCAGAATTAAAACGTACCCACTTCAGTATTTTAAAATTTGCTCTCTCAAAATTTCTTGAAGCCTTAAAAGTCAATTTTCCATACTCAGCTGGATGCGTTCTATCCAACCATATATCCAGCGCCAGGACAGATATTCGGTGACCGGCGATGACATTGAAGTTGCATGAAACATACGTAGTCAGCAACGCTGAATCTGATAGCAATTCTCATTTTTGAAAAGAATTCCAGAACATGGGTTGGGAGACACCCTCACATCTAAGCTTAAATCTTTAGGCGATATAAACAATTGTAACTTGCAAATTAAATTTTTATTTTGCTTTATTTTTCTGTTCAACGAAAGAATTAGCTCAAAAACCAATAGAACAACAGTGAGTGGGAATAAAAGGGCATGTTTTTGCAAAAAAAGGATGATAGGTAAAAGTTCGTTCACGATAATTTATTTGAAAATAATAGAATAAAAACACATCCCGTTGTTCATTTAAAGAATAGAGCTTGCATTAATAGATAGAGACTGCATCGAGTAAAAATGATGAATAAAAAAGTTCTGTTGGTTTCTTGCACTCATTCTTTTGCTTAGATACTATAATATTCCTATTTTCAAAATAATGAATCCATTGTAGGTATGCATATTCCAATGTACGTATCAGAGACGAGCACAGGTTAACTTTTTCTGTCCTGTCTACAATTTTTTTCACTCACGGTACGCAACAAAATTTGATAATATATACACCACTAGATAGAAGAAGTCTTCCTCTACAAACCTACATATATCCTATTTCGGAGTCAAAAATTACACTGAAATTTATAGTCGCCTTTAAACTTAATTAATTAATAACTCTGTGAATAGTTATCAGTTCATCGAGAAAACTGAAGGATATATGTAATCAGGTGTCCTCTTCAAACTGACATGGTTTGAGGGTACATATAGGGGCGTGGAACTTGAAATTCAAGTTCTGGCGGCTAATATCTTATGTCACAATTCATGACCAAGTGTTTGAACGCAATGACATTCCACCGAAGCCATCAAATGCTTTTATTTGCCTTATATTCGAAGCTGTACAAGATGTGACATTAATTACATTGATTGTATGTGTATTATATGAGGGTGATTTTATTGCCTACGTACTGATTTGACTTTGAATTAAGACCTAGTGTCGCTTGACTTCTGTCATTTCGCTATACTCTCTATATTCGTTATTTTCTTTGTTTTTCTTTATTTGTACCATAAGAAATACCATAAGAAACTGATAGAATTGGGACTAGAAATTTGGCCAAAAATTTCTATGGTTGTTATATTTTCAACGTTTAGTTCACTGTCTATTATTTTCTTTCTTTCTATTTTTTTAACTTGATGGAGGACGAGCAAAAGCAGATACGAAAGAGAAAATTAGTTTATATATTATATAATTCCTCTCTGCTTGTGTCGTGACTACTAAATCTAACCAGCTAGCTATACATTTCTGTATATATTTCTTGAAAATGAACTTTTAAAGCTCGAAACATTGAACCTCTTTTTTTAAATTTAATTACATGTAGTTTAATAATATCGAAATTACTGCTGTTACATTATTAAAAGATTTGGTTATTCCAAAAGATGTAAGCGGAGAGAGAAGTGAACAGATATATATGTGTACTTTTAGCAGGCTAGACAACAATGAAGTAGTGCCTACATTTCGAACAACAATAGCCTTTAAAATAAAGGATATAGAAGGTGGACCTGAAGTAAGAATCTGGATGAATGTTCTATTCTCCAGGATCTTGAATTAGCATTTTCTGAACACCTTCTAGAAAGATACAAAGCAGAATGGAAGAAACCGTGTTGTTCAACTTCGGTTTATGGCTTAATATTGCTAAAGATTGTTTTATTAGCAACCAACCTATAAGAATTATTATCTTTAAGCAATACCTTGAAGCCGTTCTAATTTTTTGTATGACCAGATTACACATTTAAGTGCCCCATGTTCAGTTAGTCTCCGGCATACATTTATCGTAGTTTTGCCCGCATACGAACTGCTTTGATTATATATATTTATTAATATTATTGACTGATTTTAAATATAGTTTTACGACCATGCAAAACAGTCGGTTTGTTCTTCCAACAAAAAGATGGATTTTTTAATTTACTTCAACATGATCTGGTTTATTCTATTAATTGTGAGGATTGTGTCAGCTCGTATGTGGGTAAAACTACGAGAATGTTTTGCATTTTCTTTTGAGCTTGTAGTATTTTGGGTAAATAAAGACAAAGTGGCACCACAGCTAGAAAACCCATTTTAAGTGCTACTTTTTCTCGCTTATCTTTGTGGAAGCATTGGGTACAACATACTTTATAAGTACAGTCATCAAATAAATGTGTTCACGGTTGTTCTGCAAACACGTGACCATTGTTAAAAATTCATCTGTTACGTCTTTTTTATCATCAGTGTAATATGCTTCGTAATCACGTAATGAACTAAAGAAAGAGAAAGAAAAATAAGCGATCCATCTATTTAGAACACAAGATAAAACAAACGATTTTTTTATTTATGTCAATATAGTGTAAACAAAAGACCAAAGGAACTCAGCTCTTCAGTACCTTTTTTTTTCTTCCTTTTCATTCTTATTTTCATAAGATATCAAGTGCAATTTATTCAAGTACTGTACGGGGTAGTCACATAGATTTACGAAAGAAACATATACACAAGCATTAAACAACTTAAGCCAGCATATTTTACTTATAATTTTTGGTTTTTTAAATACGTAATATTATTCACAAGATCTCTTTTATCGAAAAACAATGATTATGCTCCGAAGAAGCTATATGCTGCTACTTTTGTTCTTGTTGATGTGTAGTATCAATGCACTTTCGTACAATTATTCAAGCTATCAATTAAGTATCAACTGTACAGCTAGTAAAGGTTATCGTGAACCAAGAACAACAGAAGATATTGTCGGAATCTTAAAAACAGCACTAGAATCTAAGTCAACTGTCAAAGTATTATCTACGCATCATCATAGCCACACTGGTATGAAAAAATAAGCTAGTGGGCCCGCAGCAACTAGCTATAAAAAAGTATAAAAATATTTAAGTGTGTTAGCGGACACCGGAACTAGCTACGCTAGATTCGATATTCGTTGCAGCTAGCTGTATAAATGTACACACCATGAAACGGGCACTCCAGCGGCCGCTTGAGCAAGTAACGAATTGGCTCGCACGATTTTCAGCTAGTTGAAGCCAGTTGGAAATCGCATACAGTAACTTGATTTTCCATGAAGAAAGCATTTCTCATAGTTGAATCTAGCGACACTGGTGTGTAAAATTTAATTTTTAACATTTTTGCCTCTTAGTATAAGTTTAAGAAAAGCTTCCTTTAGGGTGAAAATGGGATTCTTTGATGATGTATGAGAGAACATTTCCGAATATTGTGTCAAGAAGAAAAGTGTTGGAAATTAAACTTTACGTACTATTGTTTCTAGGTTCAATTCTGAGAAATGCTTGCGTCACGAGTGTACATATATTCTATTTTATTTGGTTACATTCAACGCATGAAATAATTGTTACAAGTGGAACATATCTATACAATGATAGAACAGTAATACCACTTTTAAGTCAATGGAATTTAACCCCTAATGTTGCACAGGCACAAATTACCGCAGAACTAACTGAAGTTGGATTATATACAGTATTAAAGAATTATGCTGGCCTTTGTACATTGGAAACACAATTAGGTTATTCAAAAGTTATCACTGTACCTGCACTACAAATACCTGCGTACAGTATACCATTCCCGGGACCAAATCCACTATATCTCTATGGACCATTACAAAAAACGGCAATTGGATATTCACGTTTAATGCTAAATTCACAGTGTCAATCATGTCCTTGGAATGTATCTTTAATGGCCTTTAGGGCCATTTGAATCTGGATTTGCTCTAAAAATTCATTAATTAGGCAGTGCAATGAAAGATGTTGCACAAATATTAGATAAACATGGCTTATTAGGTAATGCGTAAGAATGGTAATGCGTATTTTATTAGTGGTGGTGTCTTACAACCAAATGCATTTTCAGGTTTAAATAATCTTAAGAAAAATTATCGAAATAAATACGATCCTGAACGATTATTTGATAATTTATTTTTACAACAATTATTTAATCAAACCACGAGTAATTCCAATAATACTAACAACGGGCGTTGTGCCTTAGATAATAATTGTTTATTTCAAACAAGTCAACAATGCGGTTTGAATCAACAATGTAAAATAACAAATAAAAATTATCGATTATATACTGACAATGCAGCACTTCTTCCAAAATGAGACTATAACACAGTCGTGGTATATTAAAGGAACAATGATTATGGGTAGATGATTTCTAATCATCCTAGCTAACTAGAAACTCTATTTTCATTAGTTACAGCCATTAACCGGTCCCTTTCCATTCGTGTTTTCTTTATTAATAATGATATTACCGTTTCTTCTCTTGCCTCTACTCTCTCATTCATTATTTGAGCAATGCACTGAATAAGTAAAGCTTGAACACACATTATCTTTGATTATCTTGATCCAGAGAGAAAGCCTGAAAGTCATGATGGTCTAAATGAGACATACTTTTGATCATATCCGATCTGGTACTCGTACGATTCTTCGACCTGGATACTGCTGGCAGAAGAATAAGTTGAAAAAAGCAATGACGATCATCATATATAGTAGATGAACAACAACATCGCTGTTTTTGATACGAAAAAAACGAAAAAGAAATTAGTTTTAAATTAGAAAAAAGATGAGCACGACTAGTGTCTTGAATGTGTCGAAAGAGAGCAGATTTGTTTTGCTTAGTAGTGAAATTAGATATATTCTTTTCAAGGAGTGCAGAAGAGATTTTGGATTTCTCCGTTATAGGAGTACACCGTCTTAAGTTTGCGTGATTAGAATAAGGTTTAGCCTTTATTCTTGACCTAATCTTTTTTATCGGTCAACCTTGTGTAGAAACTTCGTCTAAAGACAAGGATCTATGATTGGACGATTCAAAAAATTTCATATCTACAGAACGAAAAGTTCGGGAAGCCTACAACTTTGGATTTGCACGTTTTCGACCATGCTCTACAAGATGAGACCACTTAAAAAAAAATCTGAAATAGTCATTGAGCACGCTTCTGTGAGCAACGGTTGTCTTTCCCGCGCAATGACCCTTAAGGGGAGGGTCCCCCCTAAATATACCTTCAAATTTTGTCCGTTTGTAGAGAACACCTCCAAGGATCTGGGGTTGCAATAACTCGCGGGTTGGATAAGCTTAGTAGAGTTATGAAACTTTGAAAATTACAAAAACTCGATTTTACCAGCTATTTTGCATTTCACACAAAAAGTATTTCTTTCGCAACACGCCTTCTCAATGAAAGATTCCAAAAGCATTCTGTCATGGAAAGTTGTTCATTATACTCGCGTCTATGGGATAAGATATTGGATTTTAGATTGGCGTCATCATTCTGAATTTATAGACCCAACAAGAGGCCTGAACCTGAAACTCATCATATTCAGAAAACTATCCTTTTCAGCAAAACTTTAGTTATAAACTTATACACGATTATTTTTCAATGAAAGCTTGTGTGTAGCGGTGAATACATGTCAAGAATACACTGATTGAGAGATACAAAGGGTTAAGAGCTGTATGATGTAATATATATTGTATATATACATATTATCTGTCCAATTGAGCACTGGCTATGGTCCTATTTTTAATAAATTTTTAATAGAACAAGATGAAGACCTGCGGTTTCCAGTTGTAGCCAGGACCTGATAGCACCTTCCTATGTATAAATCAATTCTACCCATGAGGTCTACTACGGTGTGCCTGATCGATGTTCCAAAGATAAGACTGCCACTTCCTAACTTTTTATACAAGTCTAATACTTGAAAATACGCCTAACATAGAGCGACACCTAGTCTAAATATCTGGCAAAATCCGACAGCTCCCATCTACGATCGTTCGGGCAGGAACGAACTTCTCCTGAGACACCTCAGAATCCAATATTCTTGATACTTACAAATTTAAAAAGCGCATAGAAGCATAGGTTATCGACCACGCTGAATCTTGTGGGAATGTTTGTTTTTCGCAAAAGCTTCAAAAAATAGTAAAAACCTATACTAGGCAGAATAATCTATTTTTCCTTATTTTCATCGAAAACTAAAAAATTCATAACTCAGTCAAGATTGTTTCAAACTGCTTCGATATGTCAATATAATCAAAACTTGTAAAGTGAGAAAAGAGAAAACATGCTTCTTTTTTTAAAAAAACAAGGACGCATGTCGTCTCCCGCACTTCGACTTATATCTTGAAAAGAAATTATTGGCAATTATGCTATTATTTTAAAGTGATTTACTTTTTCAAGATCATCTTTTTGTCATTTGAGCTTTTCTTGTTTTCAGGTAAACAGATTCAAATAGGATTCAGTGTGCGCCAGTTTCTATCACGCTACGTCTGCTGATGCAAAATTGCTTTTTTAATCATTTATTAAAACTAGTTATAAAACTGAATATTTTAGAAAACAAAAATTTATAAAAACTAATAATTTATTTAAGCGACAAAAGAACTAAAATTGATCGACTGTGTTTTTCTATAACAGAAAATAGACAATCATCACATAATAAAAATGAAACAAATTTAAGAACGAAGGTCACAAAAATAGCACAAGAAATGGAAAAAAATATGCCTTTTAATCTTTTCGTTTCTCGAATGTCATCGTTCCAACCACTTGAATGAAATAGGAAAAAAACATTCATATATAATTACGAAAACAACAGACGGCTTACTATTACGATCGAGGTACGCTGTTACTAATTGTTCTTATCAAGCACAAATAAGAGATTTACTTGGTAGATGTTAACATCCCATCACACTTGACATACACACACGATTTCCACCCTGTCAACCATTTTGACTATTTCGACAGTTTTGACTACCTTGACTCTTTTGACTACTTAGACTATTTTGCTCAGTTTCACTATTTTGAATATTTTGACTACTATGACTGTTTTAACCATTTCGACACTTTGGCCACTTTAACAACCTAGACTATTTCGACTATTTTAAATACTTGGACTATTCTGACTACCTTGATCACTTTGACTAATTAGACCATTTTGACTATTTTGACTATTCTGACCACTTTGACAACATTCACTGTTTTGACTATTTTGACTGCTTTGGCTACTCTGACTATTTTCAGTACTTTGACCATTTTGACTGGTTTGACTATTTTGACTACGCGGATTATTCGGACTAGTTTGACTACTTTTGTTTACTATTTTTTTGACTATCTTTACTATTTTGACACTTTTGACTACTCTAGCCATTTTGACTGTTTTCACTATTTTGACTATTTCGACTCTTTTGACTATTTCGACTCTTTTGACTATTTCGACTGTTTTGACTATACTCACTGCTCTGACTACTATGAGTACTTTCAGTACTTTAACTATTTTGACTGCGTCGACTACTTTGACTGCTTTGACTACTCCGACTATTGTCAGTACTTTGACTATTCTGACTGCTTTGACTACTATGAGTATTTTCAGTACTTTAACTATCTTGACTCTTTTGACTGCTTTCACCACTCGGACTATTTTCAGTACTTTGACTATTCTGACTATTTTGACTGTTTTGACTGTTCTGGCTATTTTGGCTGCTTTGACTACTATGACTATTTTCAGCACTCTGACTATTCTGACATTTTTTACTATTTTGACTGCTCTAACTACAACGGTTAATTTCAGTACTTTGACTATTTTCACTGCTTTGACTCTTTTGACTATTTTGACTGCTTTGACTACTATGACTATTTTCAGCACTTTGGCCATTTTGACTCTTTTTTGAGTACTTTGACTATTTTGACTGCTATAACTACAACGGCTAACTTCAGTACTTTGACTATTCTGACCAGCTTGACTGTTTTGACTGCTTTGACTACTATGACTAATTTCAGTACTTTGGCCATTTCGACTGCTTTGACTATTTTAACTCATTTGAGTACTTTGACTATTCTGACTGTTTTGACTATTTTGACTGTTTTGACTGCTTTGACTACTATGACTGTTTTCAGTACTTTGGCCATTTTGACTCTTTTGACTGTTTTGACTATTTTGACGCTTTTGAGTACTTTGACTACTTTGACTGCTTTGACTACTTTCAGTACTTTGACTATTCTGACTCTTTTGACTGCTTAGTACTGAAATTTGAGTATTAACTGAACAAGAACCTAATATGTACGATAATGCGAATATTAAGGAGGAAAAGCACCAAGTCACTTTACTGCACTCTAGCTCTAATTCAGCTCCATTTTATTATTACTTCGGTTCATTTCACTGCCACTTCGCTATCGCTACGCTTTACTTCATCTACGCTTCACTTTACATCACCACTTCAGATCACTCAATTAACCGATATGAAGTGACGACGATATGGTCTTTTCTCCTTCTCGATGAATATACGTTGGTGAAATCTCTCTTGAAGCTGAAAAAAATCTAATACCAGCATTTCAGTAGTGCTTCTATGGTTACGAAAAGAGATTAAAAAAGTTGAAAAACATTGAAAAAGACCTTATAACATCTCTACCTAATAGAATAACGTTTTTTCTTGACGAACGTGCATATGGTGGTAATTCTAGTATGATAGCATTAATTGGCCACGCTTGTCTATGACGTGACTTATATAATGGTATACCATCACCATGTAATAATAGTGAAATAAAGAAATTTTCATTTTTCATAAGTAGTTTTTGATACTGAATGGATGATGTTATGTCTGTTAAATTATTTTGCTTTAAACGTGCTGTCTTTTGATAATTTAATAATAGGTTGTAATTAGACTTTACTAATGTTTCCAATACATATTTTAAATTCATTAAAGATAAGCCAATTGTTTGATCTATATTTAATTTTTCATTTAAAAATTGGCAGTTGTTATTTACACACTGTCCACTATTTAATTCATGTAAACAATTACTGCAAAATTTATATGTTTGATGATTTGATGTCAAATCTAATGAATTACATAATTTTGAAGTTGTTGGTGAATTATTCGGTATTGGTAAAAAATCATTTACTAATTTCAATAGTTCATCTCTTTGACTTTTGGCCATTCTTAATTTTCTCATAAATGCCAACGTTTTTTCACTATATTCTTTAACTGTTCGATTAGTATATGCATGCAATGGTCTGTCATCAACCGTCCTTAAATACATTGTATTTTTTGAGAAAGAAGACCTTTTTCATCTACGGTGAAATTCCTATTCCGGAGTTTATATTCTAATTTATATTATATA